CCGCTGCTGCGGCCATACTGGCTGCGGAAAGCGAACCATAAGCAGCCGCGGGACCATAATACGAGCCCATTCCTGCTTGTCCCATTCCGCCGGCCATTCCTGTAACATATCATTCGAAATCTTGCATAAGACCGCAATCAAGTTCGCTATGGTGCTTGAAGATTAGATGGGAGGTCTTAGATCGGTGATTGCGAAACATAGTCTAATGCGATTTGATGACAAAGAGATTGCACAACGGAAGTGACGATGTATTTCTTCAAAATGATACATCGATTTAGAGTTTGATAAAAATGAAAGTGCAACAAATAACAAGTTACAATAAAAAATGATTAATTTCTAAACGCATAAAGTTGAGTGCGATAAAAGTGGCACTTATGATACGTCAATTTAAAGCTTAAATCTTAACAATAAGATCTTGACGTTTCGTCGATATTCTCAATACTAAAAGAGCAGTTAAATCGGACTTGTGCAATCTTTGTGCCATCGAGCGACCACCATACTCGATACCGTTCATAAACTTAACAGCGAAAACTCGAACAAATGCAAAGATAATTGCCGGAGGTTAATCCTTAAAAATTGTCCTCGAGCTTCACCTTCGCCCCGGGAAACACCTGTTCTCGAGCGCGAAATCTCTGCGACGGCGTTTTTTTGCCGGGATAATTAATGGGACAAAAAAGTAGCGAAAGAGTATTCGCAGAAAAAGGAGGCGATCAAAGAAAGGAAATAAAGAAAGAAGTAAAAGGATAAGAGGGAACGTGGAATACGAGCGATAAATCGGGGATTACCGATCACCTTTCGAGGTGTCGCGTGGGCGACGGAATAAATTCTGTCCTTAATCGGTCCGTTGCCATTGCCGGAATTAATAATTTTGTTCGGTTATGCTGCAAGATCATAGTGGAGGAGGGATTGTGAATGAACGCGGACATCTTGATGGAAAAATATCTGTGTACGCGAAACAACTTACGACCCGCTTCGGGCTATTGATTCCTAAAGGGGTTCCGTGGAATTAGGATAAAATCACCTTCCAGGATTTATTCGTAGACGATCATCCCTGCGTTTTCTATTTCATGGGACACTTATGTATTTATAGAAAGAAATATGGACATTGAAGAAACCAGCTGTTTAATTATACTTTCATATGAGAAAAATTGTACGAACATCTTGCAGAGTGTAATAAAATCTCAAACAAATCCACGAGCATATCTCGTTTCTTCGAATTCATCGATCAATCAGCAAACAAGACAAAACACAATGCGCATTCAGCGATGAATCTCCAATTAAGAGAAACATTGTCGGGATTTTTGCAGAAGAAAGCACAAAACGTTAGTGAAAGTTTCGAACACAATCTAACTCGTTTCAGGACAAATACTCAAGCTCTCTGGACTGTTCGCTTCGACGAATTCCACGAGGCAGATTACAAAATCGCGATTAATAATCGAACGCGCGTGAATTCTTCGTTGCCGGTCATAAATCTCGCCGGCAATCATCCCCGTTCTTCTTAGGAGGATCCGAGCGACGTTTCTTCGTCATCGGGGTGATTCAACGACGTCCCGACAATGATGCTTCGTTGCCGGGGTTATTCTTTCGCCGCGTTTCCGTCCTTCGACAACGATCGATGATCGATAAGCCGACGCTGTTACGCGATGCCTCTCGATATTAATCTCGACGAAAACGCGCGGTTAATCATTGCCATTGTCGATCGCTGAGATCGGTTCGTATTCTCGAGAGAACTGATTCTTCATAGTTTAATAAATGGAAAAATTATCGTTTGAAATTTTTTAAACTATTCAATGTACATTTGAAAGTAAAGTTTAATCAGAGCAGAGAAACTTTTTTTCGTGGTTACACGAAACTATTATTCTTTGAGTTAGATCGTTGGCGAACACGTTTCTGCACAGTGGCACGCGAATAAGACAAGTGCGTGGGTGGCTGGGATAAATTATCGGCTTAAGCTGAAATTCCGGGCCAGAGTTTCCGCTCAGATAGGGAACTTAAAGACGTGAATTAAGGGTGTACCGGAAATTCGCAATGTTTTAGTGCAAACTTCAGTGTTAATCAGAATTAGAAATAATTACAAATAGATACAATGGGATATATTGCACGAACCATAAGAAATGTTTAACCAGTTAATTACTCTATCAGAACACATAAAAATAAAAAAGAAGAAAGCATGTAAAGGGTAAAAATTGAAAGTTCAGATAGAATATTAAACGATCACGCAACGACCACCGAGTACGTTTAATAAAACGCACAGGTCGAAAGTTAACGCAAGTCTGCGTATTTTTTTTCTATCTCGGGCGGATCGAGTCTCGGCGGAATAAATCGTCGTATAATTCCCTTTGGCGCGGAAGGTCCGTGCTTCGTGACCGCGATTCATTGAGCTTATGCACGCGAGAGCATAAACATGTCGCTGGCTCATTATTTATCGAATTGTCTTATAGTCTTGGTGCTGTTACGCGTACGATTGCCCCGAAGCGGAAGCACGTGACCCCTGCGGGAGGATCATAAATCCGTCGCCGGTAAGAAGCGGACGATCGAACGAGAGATTTGAAAAAATTTACATTCACCCTGTTGCCGTGCTATCGTGCGCGATTTCGATTGCACGAACGATATTGATCGATCTGTGTGTGGTCCATCTTGATGAGACGTGATTTACTAGAGGGGAGGATAGGTGTAATAAATTGTGGGGCAGTTACTAAAGGGTTGCATAGTGTGACAAAAAGGCACATTCGAAAATATGAATGTTGTAAATTCAGTCATAAAAATTCTAGCAGCGATGGACAACTGTAAGAGGGTGAACAAGAAAACATTGCGTTTATGGAAATTGCACTCCATCTTCAGGACGACGATTTCGCGCGATTGTCCCAGTACGCTTTTCTTTGACTCCCAGAGAAATTCAAAATTACGTAATCCTGTAGGAGCGGAGAAACAATGGGCACAATAGGGAGGCAAACGTCAAACAGATCTGTGTAAACCGAGGGCAGAAAGGGGTGTGTATGCGAGCCTCGATTCATCGAACATCTGTTCGTCGATCTCGCGGGGAACTTTTGCGAAAATAAGGCGTGTAGATTGACAGATGATCTCGTGATTAAACGTAACGATCGAGAAAGGGTTAAACGTGCATGTAAATAACTTTGATCGTTTAAATTGTTTGAAATTATTTTTGTAAAGGATCGCTGCAAAACTTGCTTCGTATTTATTTAAATTATCGAACAGAATTCTAACAATAGCGTATATATACTTTGTTTCATTATCACAAAGACAATATGATTCGCAAGCTTCCGGCTGTCTGCTCCATACACAGATGAATCAGCTAAGCAAACACAGTAATTTCATTGGAGGTTATTCGCTTCGCTTCCCGACAACGTGATCATAAATTTGTCAGCAGAAAAAATCGATCAGCATCGTCGAAACAAGGTGTCTCGAGCGGGTGTTTGCGCAAGTGCATCGACGAACCGCGATAATAATAACACGTTCGATGGCCAGGCTGGTCTGTCTTTGACGGTGAAAACGCGCGAGCCATTAACGGAGACGACGAAGAAAATGACAGAGGAAACGAGGGCTCGGTGAACCTCGAAGAAATCGCCATTATAAGACTTCCGACCATGGATCCCGAGGGCATCGCCGAACAACAATGCGGCTGAAAACGCGAGCCGAAAAGATAAGAATATCAAAGCCCTACCAAACGAACTGTTCTTTTCCTATTGTATTCTTGCCCGCGACTGCAGAAACGCACCTTTAGATCGTCGCGCTCTGATCGATTCAAGTTTGTCTCATAATCGTGTTGTTTTCTTAAAACAGCTCCGCAGTTCGTAATTGGAGGAAGCCATTACTTTACTTTTAATTCCTTTCTTGGTTTGTTTTCGCTGTTAATTGGTATCGATGAGGTACTCTCGTAGTAGGATCACAAAAAATTTTTGAACTTACCAGCTCGAAGGGCATCCATGGGCACACTGGGATACGGAATGCTGTAAGGGTAGCCCTCCTTCCGCAAGGTTTTCGGCTTTCTTCTAGGTCTGTACTTGTAATCGGGGTGCTCCTTCATGTGCTGTGCTCGTAACCTCTTCGCCTGATCGATAAATGGCCGTTTCTCGTCCTCCGTTAGGAGTTTCCATTCAGCGCCTGAAACAATCAATCGTTATCTTAATTAAAATAATAAAATGAGCCGAGCATTCGACTATATTCACATTCGATAACTTTCAATTTAACAGAGGTAGATTCCGAAGATGATGGTCAGCGATGGTTTGCGGAATCTTTGAACGAAAGTATTACGCGACAAGTTAACGAAGGGTACCGCGCAGAAATTTAACCTTTCACATTCATACAGCTTTGCCTTAATCCACTTTGGAGCGTATTTACGACTGTTCTGTCGATCGTGGACGTGACAAATGCGTTGCAACGATAGAGATTTGCAGGTTCATGGATGTTAACTAACGGCTGTGTCTCTATGCTTCGGTGAATTCGCTTCTGCGAAGTAACATATAGATTATATTCGATTCGAAATTATTAGCGTCCCCGTTGCGTCACCGAGACATTTCAAGAAATTTGCTGCCATTACTTATTCTGTCCTCGCCTTTTCCTTTCGTATATCAACCTCTAACGAAGTTTCTGACTTCAGGAGCATCTTATAACATTACGTACAATATAATTACATAAGTTATTTGTCTGATACAAGCGTACATTTCGATTGAAATCATTTTGAAATGCTAGACGAAATTTCACGGTGGAAATTGAAAACGCAATTTTCCGCGTGAACAATCGTGAGCGGAGTGGATTTAAAATGAGGCGCGATTACGGTTCGTCGATAATTCAACCATAACGGCTGGTTCTGCCGGTGGTGGCACACAACACGGTTTTCATCGGGTAAACACTGAGCGTCCGAATGCCTTTTATACTCATTGATCGAACGCGTTATCCAAGTGCCTATCGCTCGTTTACAAACTGCTTTATACCAACTGCAAACACGCGGTCGAGAGCCGGCATGATCTACGTATACATATCGACAGTTTTTTCGCGCGTAATCCATTTTTTCATCGATACGTTTGTTAGTAAAATAACTCGTATTGAAATCGAGTCATCAGAGTAATCGGTAAAAATTTGATCGATGCAAAAATTGCAGAAAGTAGAGGGTGGTTTCGGAAGACAAGGGGTGTCGTTCACCCGAAACAACCAATGTTTTCACGGCGAAACCTTTGCACGTTTCTCTTTCTCCCTCTTGCGTTCGTTGTTCTCAACGGTAGCGGACCGATTGTTCTACCGAGAATTAATTACCACTTGTTGTGGAGGCTGCTGGTTGCGGCTGTGTAGACAAAGCACGAAGCCTGGAAACGGAGGCTGCCTCAAACGAGAAAACGACGCACGGCGTCCGAGTCGCGCGAAGTCCGTTCTCTGCAGTCACGGGTGCAACAAAGGGCGCGCAGGTTGCCCCTGCGAATAATGGCGGTTGATACGGAGACGTCTTTAATCGAGATTCGGACACGTGACTGTTGAAATTTGCAAATCCGGAATAAAAATGGGAAGATGAAAGAAGAAATAAAGTAGAGGAGAGAAAGAGGAGAAACGAGGCCAAAGAGTCTGAGTAATATCAAGAACTCGCAGGTTCTAAGTGAATCGCTCAAGGGGGATGAAAGTTCTCGATACAGAGAGAAGATACACTAGCGGAAATTCGAGGCGCACCGGAGCAGATAGAAGCTAGAGAGGATGGGATTCGCGTAGCCCGATGGATCTTTTACTCTCCTCGTTATTGTTGCTGACAGCAGGCAACGACAATGGAAAGAGTTGCTCGGCATAGTGGAGAGTACGCGAGGAAAGAGACGGGGGTAAAAAAGAGAGACGAGCCGGCTAAACAATACGGACACGTGGTGGTTCACAATGAACCTCGAGGAACGTTGCGAGAAAGAGCGAAGCGGAAGAGGGAATCCGAGATTTTTGTCTTCCGGGACAATGTGGAACGCTGATAACGCATTCGAGCCGAGCGACTGGTGTCGAGCCATTCTTAATCCTTGTTCCAGCCATTCTGAATGCGTTCCCCGGGAAAGAAAGAATATGTAGCGTTTCAGGATAATAGTTCGATGCAAAGCTCCCTTTGTTTATTTGTAGCTTTCAATGATACTATGACTGTGGATTAGGTGTACACAGATTTTAAAAGTGTACCAGCCCTTTGCGCTAAGGGGTGTGCTCGTGGGAGGTGCTTAGTTTCAGGTGTAGGGGAAGGTCGCATGGGATTTAAGAATTTTACTCTAATCATATCTTGACCATGGGTACACTTCGCTTAGCGATCGTGTCTAATAAAGATTCGAGTACTTGGGATGACTAGTAGGGTACTAGTAGCACTAGTCCCGGAAGGGTGGTTTCCTTGGAGCGTATTTACATTATAGGCTATCCGAATCGATACACGTTTTCCCCGATCTAAAAGGCAGGTGGCAGGTTGTAAGAAGGGGAAGGGTTAGAGAGGAAAGCGGTGAACGGGTTTTGCTCGATGGGGGTGGCGTGTTTGTTTAGAACAAAGGCTTGCCAGCACCGACGGTATTAGTAGGTAGGTATTCTCGGCCAGTACTCCTTGTAATATCAAGAACTCGCAGGTTCTAAGTGAATCGCTCAAGGGGGATGAAAGTTCTCGATACAGAGAGAAGATACACTAGCGGAAATTCGAGGCGCACCGGAGCAGATAGAAGCTAGAGAGGATGGGATTCGCGTAGCCCGATGGATCTTTTACTCTCCTCGTTATTGTTGCTGACAGCAGGCAACGACAATGGAAAGAGTTGCTCGGCATAGTGGAGAGTACGCGAGGAAAGAGACGGGGGTAAAAAAGAGAGACGAGCCGGCTAAACAATACGGACACGTGGTGGTTCACAATGAACCTCGAGGAACGTTGCGAGAAAGAGCGAAGCGGAAGAGGGAATCCGAGATTTTTGTCTTCCGGGACAATGTGGAACGCTGATAACGCATTCGAGCCGAGCGACTGGTGTCGAGCCATTCTTAATCCTTGTTCCAGCCATTCTGAATGCGTTCCCCGGGAAAGAAAGAATATGTAGCGTTTCAGGATAATAGTTCGATGCAAAGCTCCCTTTGTTTATTTGTAGCTTTCAATGATACTATGACTGTGGATTAGGTGTACACAGATTTTAAAAGTGTACCAGCCCTTTGCGCTAAGGGGTGTGCTCGTGGGAGGTGCTTAGTTTCAGGTGTAGGGGAAGGTCGCATGGGATTTAAGAATTTTACTCTAATCATATCTTGACCATGGGTACACTTCGCTTAGCGATCGTGTCTAATAAAGATTCGAGTACTTGGGATGACTAGTAGGGTACTAGTAGCACTAGTCCCGGAAGGGTGGTTTCCTTGGAGCGTATTTACATTATAGGCTATCCGAATCGATACACGTTTTCCCCGATCTAAAAGGCAGGTGGCAGGTTGTAAGAAGGGGAAGGGTTAGAGAGGAAAGCGGTGAACGGGTTTTGCTCGATGGGGGTGGCGTGTTTGTTTAGAACAAAGGCTTGCCAGCACCGACGGTATTAGTAGGTAGGTATTCTCGGCCAGTACTCCTTCCATCTCTTTCCGTGCTTTTGGAGAGGGCCACGACGACGACGACGACGACGTCGTCGAGGAGGACCGAGCTTCAGGCACAATGGCGCCTGCTTTTCAGTCCTTTCGTCGGCGAACAATGCCGTTTATTTAACATCGTTTAAAAGTACAAAGCCTGTTAATTAATAGACGGGGCAGAAGGAGGGGAAGACGGAAGCCGGTGAAGAGGACGGGCGGAGAGAGGACAGCCATGGCGACGGAGAACCATTGCTAGCGCGGCTTTTACCACACCAACGACGAACCATTGCCTCGACATTACTATTCCTGAAGGCGACTGCTATTAGTCCAGCCAGCTACCAAGCCTTTCTTTTTCTTTTTGCTCTTCATTGTCACCGGCAAAACTAGGCTACTACCGCTGTTCTTATATCCGGATCTCTTCTCTCGTTATTTTCTTTTTCCTTCTACGTTACCGACTCTAACGCGCCTTTTTCGAATCTCCCGCAAAATGGATCACGCCTTGCGCACCGTTCTACCATGTACACTTTTCCGTTTCCGGTAAGCTCTACTCGTTTTCGCTCTGTTCGAATTGCGGGTACAATTCTTGATCCAGTTTATTATTACTAGTAATTGTAATAAGTTTTGAAGAAGTGGTTTCTATGGACGCAATTAACAGTTGCCTTTTTAATAATTTTAAAATGTTTAATTTGAAACGTTAGTTGCTTTTAAGGGGACTTAATATTCTTGAATCCATTACTGAGCAAACTAGAAAATAATACTTACTGTTAGAACAATATGTTTATTCTTTGCTTTCTTATCACTGAAACGTAATTAAAATGTATTTAGCAGTTTGCTTCCTGGTCGATATTACCGCGCAGTTAAAGTACACTTTAAAAAGCGAAATCTTTTCCTTTACGAACCAAACTAATAACTCTAATTTTGTAAAAAGCTTGTTTCCGTTCTTCTTTGCCAATAACCTACCTCAAAAGGAACGTTAAGTAATAATGGTAGTTAATTGAATATTTTCTTCCTTCGTAAGCCGAGGTTTTAAATAACCCTAGTTTCGCAAGAAACATAATACAAGTCCCCAAAGCTAAGTTGTTCATTAAGGTCCTGAATAGACGCGAATTTTTACGACAGACAGCTCGTCCTGAAAACGCTTTGGACGGAGAAAGAACTCTGAAACGTAGTTTTCCAGAAGAAGAATCTCTGCTTGGAAGACTAATTTTCTTAGGGGCATTAACAAGGATACCCTTTTTAGAAAATATCCTCCGCAGAAACACTTCCGAACAAAGGGGATCGCTTGACACCAACAACACTTTTCTGAGCTGACGCTTTTAAGAGAGAAAATTTCATTCAACGTATAATATTCGAGAGAACGGGTGTCTCCGCTTTAAATATTATAAATCTTCTCACGGGGAAGATAATGGGACGCTTTTGAAAAGAACGCCTCTGAAAACAGTTTCTGCGAGCTGTTAAATATGCGGTCAGCAAATTGTGGAACAGTTTCTTGTCGATCGATAAATATACATAATGACTGTGCGATAAAATTAAAAAATTCTACACTTTTTTGCGGATTTACATGTTCAATCCGAATTTCATAAACATTCCTTCACGACCTTTTGAAATTTTAATAAAGTATTCGAACAAGTTTCCAATACGCATTCTACTTTCTACCAAAGTTTGCTTCGGCCGTGGATACAAATCCATTTACTCCGTTTCGATTGTATCGGGTAAATTGTAAGCGCAGACAAAGGGGGTGAACGTAGTTGGCGAGGGCTCGTAATCCGAAGGAAAGTGGACGTAATCGTGTCTAGGACACAGCGAGCTAGCTAGTGCAAGACTCGCGAACGAAGAAAACAATCCGCGGAGGACCCCGACAACACTGCGAATCCTATAGAATCGCGAGAACAATGCCGCCCTTGCGACAAAGGAGGAAGCACAAAACGCCCTGCACACAGGTACACGCGCCGTTACACCCCCAAACCCTCCCTCGATCTCGCTCACCGTCTCCGCGTGATTAAAAATGATCGTCCCCAAGCAAGCTTAAAGCTCTCGAGGATGAAAGCTTCTCCTCCTATTGCACCGCGGATACACGCCTATCGCGAGCAACTTGCCCGCGGATCGTCGGCCTGGACAGGGCGGGGAAGCTTTCATTTCACGCTACTGAGAAAGCGTCCTCGATGAAGAATTTCTTTTTCTCTTCCCAGAAACTCTGCCGCGTAATGATCAAGGGTGACGGAGAAATTTAATGGGGTTAATGGTAAATCTTTAGGCGCTCCGAGGTAAGTGACTTTGCACAATTTTAAGCTTTCATTAATATTTCTTCTTACTAAACGTTAACCATCTACGAAATAGGTGCCTACGTCTGTGATTACTCACGCAAAGTCATCGTGTGAAACCTAACCATTGTAAAATATAAAAATATAAACTAATATATTTAATCGTTAATTACAGTTTTAGAAGCGACTACGAAAATGCATTGTAATATATCACTGTGACACCGAACGTGCGAGCGCATTAATCGCCGTGACGAATTTAATTCGAAGCAATTCGTTAGCGTTCGATTCTTTGTAAGAGGAGAAAAGTAACAATAACGCGGCCCATTAATCTGCAATTCGTGCACGGCTCGTTAATACGTCCAGCCAGTCTTCCACGCGGAATAATAGATCGTTAAGGTCGATAAACATGCCATTGTTTCCCGCCAACAACGCGAACCACGTGGACCTATCATCGAGATAACGTTGCCCGAGGAGGCGCTAATTTATACGGCACTGGTATACGTTTCTGACACGCGGATGACTTTGTAAATTACTTTGGATTTCATGGACTTGCTACTTTTTCATTTCATTCTTACACTTCTAATTATAATCATTCATCATCTAACTTTGTAGTCAATAAAATATTCGGAGGATTGTTTGAATCATGCATTATTTATGTACACATATTAGTGGGATAGCAGTACACTCCTCAAGTATAACTTACACATATGTGGACACATATTTGATCTCTGATTTCAAAGCCGACTAATTAATAGGATTTGAACTGAATAGAGAATAGAGAAAATCACAGTAAAAATCTGCCTTATTAGCAAGTTCAAAGTTTGCCCCTGAAACTCCATGCAAGTCCGTGAGCTAACAAGGTTTCCATAAAAAAGTGCAGCTCAACCTTGCCAGCGGTTTTGCCGGTAAAAAGCAGCGGCGACGGAATAGAGAGGAAAAGAAACGGGGTAGAATAAACGTTCACGTTTAAGCAGATAAGCCGCAAAACAGCAAACCAATTTGAGATAATCGGGTCTCCTAAGCGAGGCGGGTAAAATCGTCGAAGGGAAGAGCAGAGAACGTACCGAGTCCCGTGCTTGTTTCCCGAGGCTCGAAGGGTTAAATAGGGTTGTCCTTGGTCCGCGGGGGAGGATGAACTCCCTTCTGCTCGGCTCGCTTCAACGTCGATGAGCGAGCAAACCGACAAGTCGTTTCTTTGGCGAAAAGAACTCTCCGTAGGACGAAACGCGAGAGAAAGAGAGAGGCTGTGTACCGGGAACCGGCAGAAATACTTCATTACGATGAAAGCTTTGCTTCTACCTTCTCAAGTCTCCTCCATACCCCTCCTCTGCCTCCCCCTACAACCCTCTATCTGCTGGTAACCGTGTGTTTCTTCGTCCCTGTTTTCCACGGTAAACCTGCACCCACACATACGCGCATCGCAATCCACCACCTTCTCATTTTTTTTTTGTCGACTTTCCTCCACCCTCCTCCGACTAACCCAACCCCTCGCTTACTCCGTCTTCGTTCCGCACGCGAAAATGCGTGTCTTCGAGTGCGAGAGTGCGTGCCGTGTTCTCGTGCATTTTTTTTACAGGGTAACAATGAGGCCGGGTATTTTAGACGATAGGAAAAGGAGCGGAAACGCGAGGACACGAAGGGGAATTACGACGATCGATGCTCGTCGACTGGATCGTCACGAGCTTCTGAGTAATTGAGTCCGACGAACGGGACACGAACAACGTTTTTCCTGCAGAGACTCTCTCGGGATATCAAAATCTTTCAGATTGTTTTCTTCATTGAGACAGGTGTTTCGAATACCGTTGTTTATACATAAATAAGTTGCAAGAGTTTTAATTAAACATTAAACTGAGCATATTCAGAATTACCTAGTAAAATTATCTGCGAGTTCAGACATTCTTAAACATCGGTAATATTATTAAAAAAAAATACACGAACACATCGTTCACCGCGAAGCAAAACGAAGAAAGAATAGCACAATGCTCAGCGAAGAAAACTCAAGTTTCTTCGAAACTTCTCATCACCGTAGACCCCGCCAGTCTAATCGATTCTCATTCAATTAACAATCCACCCCAGCCAGTCTCGCAGGAAATACGAGCGAAGAAGCAAAACCCCTTCCCACAGCGGAGTCTACCTTGGCAAGATGAGAAAGGAGCCCAGACGGGGTGGGAATCGAAGTTTTCGAGCACGAACGCGCACACGGGTTACACGAACGTCCAATAACCAGATTAGCTCGGGCTATTTCCCGATGGACCGTTTGCTCGATACCACCCCTCAATCCTGCTTCCGGTACAGTTTTGCGGAGGATCGTGAAACGTGTCGGACTGACCGAATGGAAGATAAACGGAGACGGTCATCTTGCTAATCGACGTCGTAAAATTCGATCGAGTGTGTGCGACTGTCTGTGACGTCTCGATGCGAACTTAGTACGCGAAAACCCTTACAGTGCACAACCAGAACTATTCTAAAATTGAACAATTGTGGCACACATCACTGTACAGTCAATGTAGCTTAAGACCATATGCGAGACTAATTTTTAAGAGTAAAATAACAGATATAATTTGTTAAATATCAGAAGAAAGACATAAAATTCAAGAATGTTACAAACACAACCCCTCGAAATCCAAACACGTCCGCTAAAAAGCTACCCCCCGAAAGTAAGAATGAACCCTTTGAAAAATTGCTGTCACGATCAAAATGCGATTTGCCCGGCGCCCCATTACGGTCGGCGGTGCGTCAAATGGCGCAGGCGGATGTCGGCCTCGCGAGTTAACATTTTCTCCGGAAGCCGCGGGAAAAGCACGAGGAAGAAAACGGGTCCGCGGCTGCATTCCACGCGAGATTCCAGCGAGCGAACGAGTCGAGGGTGCTCCTGCGGAGTACATCGGTTCCTCGAATCTTTTGTCGCGGCAGTTGAGGTAGCAGCGGGGGTGGGTTTGGCGTGTAGGGTGGCGCGGATCGTTCGGCGAAGGAAAAGAGACGAGGAACGCGCGGGGGTTGGCGGTGATGGTGGTGGTTGCAGGATGAAATTTGCAAATGCTCCGACAAGCCAGCCACGAGAGTCGCGGCGGGGTGCAGGGGGTTGTACATCAAGCAGAAATGTACGCGGTGCCAGGGATACGGCGGTAAAAGAGCGACGAAAAAGTGTCGCTTCGACAAAGGGTGCAAGCTGGAGAAGAGAACAAGAGGGACGAGAGGGGTGGATCAAGAAGAAGGGGTGGAGGAGGAGGAACGAGGAGAGGCAGAGTTAGAAGGGGGTGGTTCGAGCGTGCGCGCATCATTTTTGCCGAGGAGCAGGCACTTCCCTTATTCGCCGTCGCCGGGGGAACCCGAAACGGGGGTAGAAGAACCGAGGCGAGGAAGAAAATGACGGATAAAGAAGATTCGAGGGGAGCTGCGGGAAACGGGCTTTGTCGATTCCCGGGTATTTAACGGAAATACCAACCGGAATACCTTCGTCCCCGTTCCTCTTTATCTCTTTTCTTACCCCTCGGTACACACCCTCCCCTACGTACACAACCACCTATACGAATATAATTCGAGAACCGCTGGACTCACCGACTACCAAAGGGTACCGTCTCGCGCTAACTGCCGTCGCTTTTGCTGTCGACATTTCATTCAAACATCCGCACAGTCTGACAGTCAAACTATCATTTTCAATGTCGCACGAAAGTGATACTACATTTTGTGTCACGACTACGAGCCCTTATTTATCGTTACATCGCGTTCAATCTTCAGTGTCATGGCTAAAGTGATACTCTTTGTAAAATTCTTCCTTCTTCGACCTATTGCAACCGCGATCTTAAAATTTTTCAATTATAACATATGTTTAGGTACAATGATCAAATAATGCTCAAAGAAACTGTCTTGCATGTTCCATGAAACACTCATGAAATACAGTAGAGAGTTTGTGAAAAATAAAAACTTACCAAGCCTCTTTGAGATTTCGCTGTTGTGCATTTTGGGGTTCTCCTGCGCGATTTTCCGCCGTTGCAACCGGGACCAGACCATGAACGCGTTCATCGGCCTCTTGATGTGCTCCACCTGCGCCTTCTTCGTGGTCGGGCCAAGGGGGCTGCCGAGGCCAACCCCCATGGGACCGA